AACAAACTTTCCTTCTGATTAGTTTCCTAGTGTGATGATGATGATGATATGATATGATCATATGGTATTGTTACATTATCCAGGAGACTACAATGAAATTGCAGAATAGTATGGTTGCCAAAGTACCAGCTCTGTTGTAGGAAATGCTCACGCACTTCCCATGGTGTGTCACAAGAAGTCAAGCTGGCTTCACACCATAAAGAAAGACAAGCAGCACTTCCTGCAGGGTCACCCAAAGTCCCCTCCCTCTCCAGAGCCGCCTCACAAATGGGCACTGCAACTGGGAAGGTTCAGAGGACATTCATCTGCACAGAGCAGCAACTCATTCCCTCACCAAAGTACAATCTATTTTATCTACTCACATAGAACATGTTTTTGAATTGTTAGGTGGACAGAGGTGAGTGATGGGAGCTCACCCTGACACACAGTGCTAGGACTCAACCCACTGGAGCAGAAACCATTTCCAGCATCATTAAGGCACTGAGGCACCACACATCTTTCCTAGTGACAGATAAAATTCTTTTCTTTAATTGTATTTTTTGCTTTTTGATTACTGAGAATTATTGAGAAATTTTAAATTAGACTGCAAAGTAGAGTTGCTATTTTTAATTAACCTAATATACAATAACATTTTAATTTAACGGACATTTTGAGACAAAAAGTGTCTGTTAAATCAGAATGATTGTTAAATCTTAATTTACATAATTAATAGCGTAGTTATATATCGTAAATGCCGGCGTACAAGGCGATCCGGCGTATAAGACGACCCCCGTCTTTATAGCCGGGCCGCATTCCTAGAACGTCATCTTATATGCCGGAAACTACCAGTATTTCCGGCGTATAAGACGACTCGGCGTATAAGACGACCCCTGTCTTTGGCGCCGATTTCAGCGCTTGCGGAAGTCGCCTTATACGCCAGCATTTACGGTAACTGACTTTATTACACTGATTTGTGTCAGTGTCACTGGCATAATTAGGTAATTATGCTAATGATATAATTGTGACTACTGTCTGGACAGACTTTAGAAAAAATGATTTATTTTTTATTTGGGGAGTAAATTTCACATTATTTTATGGAAGCAATTTTCTAAAACTATTATCTCACATCAAATATAAATTGATTAATAGTTTAAAATGATTGTTCAGATTAGGATTACACAATATTTTTTCTAAGACAGGGGCACTTTTCTTCTCTGGATAAATGAGAGTAAGGGCACCCAAAAGTTGTATCACTTTGCTTTCATATATATTTTAATAAAAAATTACTAGAGTTATATAACAATTACCCAAGTCATTTGTGTAATCAATTTCTCTTCCTGTCACATTAAAATTTTTGACTTGGTAACAACTATTAAAGGTCTCTCAGGAGAGACTGTAATAAGTTAGTGATAGAAAAACAGTGGCAATGCATGTACATCAGACACTTCATCCTCATATCAATCATTCTATTAAGTTTAAATAAAAACATTCACATTCATAATTATAAAGTGTAGTCCATTATTTAAGATTTGTCATTTAATACTAAAAAGCAAAACACAGGGATAAAAATAATCTAAAGAAAATATACATAAATGGAGAAAGAGATGACATGCAAAGAAAAAGAAACCTTTTAAAACTTGCAAGAGTGAACAGATGGGAAAGACCTTCTACACAACACTAAATTAGCAGCTGCCACATCAATGTAATTTTATACAGTCTAATGTCTTGAAAGGGGCTTTGCAAGAATTTTAGGCCTGGCAACTGCTTTTGAACAATATGATAGGCTTGTCTTAGTAATTACTTAAAGTCAGAGAGAAATATCAACAACCTAAGATATACAGATGATACCACTCTAAGCAGTAGGCGTGAGCTTAAATGGACTCCAGAAGATGGTAGAGGATAGGAAGACCTGAAGGAACATTGTCTATGGGGTTGCGATGGGTCAGACACGACTTTGCAATTAACAACAACAAAGTCAGATTTGAGTGTATAGAACTTTTCAGCTTTTAAATCTCCATTTGGAATTGTAACTTTTAAACAAATGTATGATTTCATCAGCAAAACAACATGACATAAAAATGAAGGTAATTTTTATAAAATTGACAAAATTAAATATCTATATGCTAAAACCAGTTGCCCATATACTTTTATTTTTTTCTAAACTCTGACTTATCATTCTTGGAAATTCAGAATCCATGTGGGTCTGAAGACCCAAAAAAGGAAATGTTCCAAAACATGGAGAAAAGGCCAAACTATTTATTTCCCATTCGCTTTCTTATATACATTTATGTATACTTTTTTAACAGGAAAAAATAACTATGTGCCTGATCACAGATAAATATCTCCACTAAAAAAGAAGAAATAAATTAGTAAATATATCATACTGGAAATATTAGTGTAAGTAGCAATCTCATAGTTAGGACTATGTCTCAATTTTACCAATAAAAATTATATACACATTATGTCTTTATTATGCCTACCTTTACTGAATAATTAATATATATAAATACATATAATACATATGTATAATACGCAGTGGTGGGATTCAGCCGGTTCACACCATTTCGCTAGAAGTGGTAGCTAATTTTTTGTTGCTCAGGCCCAGAATGGACTTCCAGAAGCGGCATCCACACAGAGAACCGGATGTTCACATATTTGAATCCTACCACTGATAATACATACATATAAAAGTGACACATGGATATTTCTGTATCCAAATAACTACCACTTTCAGGAAGTGAAAGCACCCATTGTCTCCCAATTATTATAGTAGTATGTATTTAGTGGAATCTTATCAAAACCACAGCATGCTACTGAGTCCAGAACAGATATTGGTTTCAAAATAATGCAAAAGCAAACCTATTTTGACAAAATAAATAACTTATTTAGAATTAAGTGTAATCTTATTTTTAAGCTGTTTATTAAGTTTCCAATATCTTGACAAGATTCTTTGTTACATTGAGAAGCCTGGCAACACCTTAAAAACCTGATTTGTCGTGCACTGCCATGAAACTTATCATGTTTGAAGTAATCTTATCATTTTGGGCATGTATATCTATATAAGCCAGTTGGGAATTTTAATGATGCCAGTATATATTAATTCATTATCTTTCCTACAGCAAATGGAAGCAGCTAGCAAGCTTAAAAATATAAGGTTTGGACAGAAATTTATCCAGAAATCTCAAGACAGTAAACTAAGATAAGAAGACAAAAACAGATAAAGAAACAAAAAATCCTAGATAAAAAAAATGGCAAACGTTGCCAAGAAAGCAATATGGATACAATCCAGTTATCATCAGCATAAGAATCCATTAACAATCACACTGCCAAGATGATCAAATGTGCATTGCAACATCAAAAAACTAAGTTCACTTTTTCATAATTGCATTAAAATACTTCTTGCACATTTTTCAATTCTCCCTTGTTTCCCTCAGTGTCTCATTGTTTCCTGGGCATCTGTGTTCATCAACCTGACTCAAGAGAGACTTTATTTTTCCAGAAGAATAAAGTGCTACATCTTACTAATTAACATAATTGTTAAGCACATTTAATTTAAGACAAAATATAGTGTATGAAATAATGCAATGAATTTTTATTTATTTATTTATTTATTTATTTAAATAATTTATTTATTTAAATAATTAGCAATTTGTACTAATTGCTTTTGAAAACTCAGAAGTATATTATATAAAGATACAGAAAGCTATAACAGCTTTTAAAATATAGCTATATCAAAATAAGGTGAAAAAGGCAATTAAAATAACTTAAAATAAAGACAGCAGAAACAAAGACAACAGATAAAATAGCAAGAGAAAAACCTTAAAAGAAAAATGCTGTTTATTAAAATTTTGAATAAATAATTTTCACTTTGTATGTTATTTGTACACCTGTAAATCTTGTGGAAGACATGTTTAACAAAACAGTAGAACGCAAATGAAGTTGCCTTAATTAAAAGCTCTTGAAAATGGTATCTCATAATCCTGTATGTCATGTGATATTTAAAACCATTTACTGCCCACATATTGAGAATATGCATATTTGATGGCTAGACAGTGGAAAGGAGAGGCTCATTGCATGATACCGAAGCTGCATATGGAATGATATCCAACATTATAAAGTATGTTATGATCGATTATCAAAGTCAATAAGTTTCTAATGATAGGAAAAGCAACTTTGATAGCATTCCTTAGAATTAGAAACAATAGTAGAATCCAGTATACTGGATTCAATAATAAGCTAAACTATTTATTATTAATATTTCAATATTTTATCTATGTATTAAAGAATGCTACCCATAATCCATGCCAGTTGCTTTATCAATATCGAAAAATCTTTGATGTCAATTATGTAAATCTGTTGTATTGGGTATTAGGAATACAAAACAGTAAGTATTAAGAATTTCTTGTGATAGTCAAATAGTACCTCTGATTAACACAGCTTCAAAAAAGATCCCCAAGGCTAAATAAAGCAAGACACACATGTAATATGATGTTTTTATTTGTGAAACGTATACACAATTAAAAGCCTTTATTTCCCCAAGGATATTATTTATATAAGAATCCAGCAATCATATTTGATGAATTTATAAGCCTATGAGCTACTCTACCAGTAAGTACCAGTGATATAGTACAATTAATCCCATGTTACTCTGTGTTATGAGCTGCAGCAATGAATCCGCATTACAATAAACCAATTAAAAAATGAGAGGCACATTGAGCATTTTTTCACAGTTAGGAATCACCCTTTCTGTCAACTGCATTCAACTGGTTGATATTATAACATAAATATGCCCGAGGCAACTACAAGATTATGAAACTAGATAAATTGATTATGGGATGGGTGAATTAATAACTTTCAATACAGAAGAGAAGTGTCAGTCAAAGCTGAATGAAATGAAAATCCTGGATCAAAAACATGTTTACATTTTTGATTTTCTGAATGTTTCTATGCAAAAAGTGCTGTTACATTTCTGAGCAAAGACATGCAATTACATAAATAAAGCAACAATTTATATTCCATACCTCTTGTAGTCAACTCTAGAAGACTGAGAGGTGAAAATCCATCACTTGTAGTGTTTGATTCTTGCTTGTTCTGGAATGTAATGAAAATAATAGTTAAATTGAGGTGGTTGTAATATACAAATATAATATAATATTCCAACAGTTATTTATTTAGCATTTCAAAAATGACGATATTTCATGATTTATATAGTAAATTTGTCTTCATTATGGATATATAGTTTTTCTGTCTCCAAAAGTACTAATATCTATTACTGTTTAATAGAAACTAATAGCCAATAAAAAAGAAATCAAGGATGAGTTTCTAAATACAAGTGACAATTAGCTGAATTTCTCTGAATATTTTGTCACTATCAATATAAATCAGATAAAAGGAACTAATACAATCAAATGTATATCTAATCAGTGTTACTAATTCCTTTTATATTTTTATCATGCAGCATTTATGAACTTGCCTTTTTCTCAATTATAAGATCTAGAACATTTTTTACAACTTAAAACTTCTAATTTGGAAAAAAAAAAAGGCTAGATAGCAAGGTGCATAAATTTAGGCCCAAACTTGACTGTAGGTATTGATTTCCAGAAATGAGTAACTGAATATTCTGAGTGGGGAGTAGAAGTAAAATGGCAAAATTGTTAGGGTACCATATTACCGAAGGACAAACAGAAAAGGTAAACATGGCTAAATCAGCTTTTAAGAAAATGGGGTTCAATTGTGATCATTTCCATTACAGAACAGATATGCTAGGTAGTTATTTGGGAATTTTAATTTAATATATTTGGAATGAAAAGAGAAAGGGTCCAATAATCTTACTTTCAATCTTATGTAGTTACTATTAGAGATATATGGTGATAATTCACAAATCATCTTCATATCATTATCTTCATATCTTATTGAAGAAATGCTTTTCTTTCAAATTTAAACAATGATATAAATATGAATGCTCCAACACTGGAAGTTTTCAAGAAGAGACTGGACAGCCATTTGTCTGAAATGGTATAGGGCATGGATCAGCAACCCACGGCTTCGGAGCCGCATGTGGCTCTTTGAGCCATCACCTGCAGCTCTGGAACCTCCTCCGCCATTTGCAGAGAGAGAGAGAGAGAGAGGCACTTGCACTTCCCTTCTCTCTCTCTGTCTCATGCGGTCTTCCCCCTCACAGAGCTCAGATTGGCCCTGTGCCTGGGTGCTCCACCCCTGGGAGAAGCGTAGCCAGGAAGTCCCTTTCCCGGGCTGGCCCCGTCCAAGGCGCACATGGCCATGGAGCCATGCGGGGAAGCCCCGGGATCCTCACTGGGAGTGGCCCGCCACAGGCTCCGCTGAGGGGGCCAGCCTCCCGCAAGCCACAGCCTAAGGGAGAGCAGCCCCTGCAATCCCCAGTCAGTGTGAATGTTGGCCCCGCTGGCCGGGAAGGCACGCTGGAATCACGGCTGCCAGGAAAGAAGAGGGAGATGCAGCAATGGAAGGAGAGGAGAGCCTCCTCTTGGGGCGCGGCGGCAGTGGCAGCTTCCTTGCCCTTCTCATCCTCCTCCCCTTATTCCTCCTGCTGCCCCAAGGGTGGCTCGGGTGGGCACCAGGGCCTGAGGGGCACTTGGGGGGGCCAGCTGGGCCAGCAGAGGGGCTGGTCAAGCAGAGCAGCTGCAGCATTGCTGACAGGGCCAGTGGCCTGCGCCGCACCAGCCCCCACCATGGCTACATTGGATGGGCGGAGGGCGAGGCTGGGCAGCGCAGAGTTCCGGCTGGGGCAGCGGCAGCAGCTTTCTCACCATCCCCCTCCCCTTCTTCCTCCTGCAGCCCCCTGAGCGGCAGTCCAGGCTGGGGCGGTGGCTGGCGCCAACATTGCTCCCTGGGCAGCCGAGCCAGCCCGCGTCTCCCCAAGCCGGTCTGGGCGGCAGTCCCGGCAGGGGTGGCGGCTGGTGGGGGCATTGCTCCCTGGGCCATCCCTGGGCAGCCAAGCCAGCCACGCTTCTCCACGAACCTGCTCATCTCCACTGGCGCCAGCGATACCATCTGGTGCTGTTTACACGGCTGTTCTTCCATGTGACTGAGATAGGCAGCGCCGCTCCGCTATCGTTTCCTCGGACCAGAGTTGGGGCCGCTGCCTATCTCAGTCATGCTGTCCATTGACTTCCATGGAGACGCTTGGCAATGGCCAATTGAAACAGCTTCAAGGATCGAGCTGCGGGATGGCTTTGAATGGTAGAGAGAGACACAGAGATGCAAATGTGTCTCCACAGGAGATGCAGCAAGGGCAGGAGATGAGGAGGAGTCAGCCTATGTCTGTGCACATGCACAGATTTAAACGGAGGCTTCCAAACCTGACACCCATACAAACATGGATGTCTGGAAAAAAAGGGGGAAAAGTGGGCGTGACTATTTAAAGACCCCCACTTTTCCTTTCCTTCCTCCTCTTTGGCAGTGTTGACTTCTGCTCCTTCAATCCTGGTTGCTCCTCGCAGTCCCTGCCTGCCACGGCTATTTCTGAGAGCGTGGACCAGCTACCTGTGGGCAAGCCCTGAAAGCTTTCTTCCTCTCCCCAATCTTGCCTTTCTTACTCGCCCTCTGATAGCGGCATCTGCTGGGTTTCCTCAACCTCCTCCATGTTTTATTTTAATCCCACCACCGCCTCCCTCTTTCACAAAGTTGACATTCCGGGGACTCGGACCTCGCTTCACTCCTGGAGTCACTTGGCGAAGCTTGAAGGTGAAGCTGCCTACTCCCACCTCCTGCAGAGCAGAACTGCTGCTTCCTTGCCCTCCCAGCGAAAGAACCCCAGAGAAGTGGAAGACGTCCTTTCTCCCACTTTCCGCTTCTCATCCTCTCTTTTCTGAGCACTCCTCCCAGAGCGATCCAGAAGCCTCAATTCCAGCCTCCCACAGCAGGCTGAGATAGGTGAGCCTGAGCGGGCATCTGCTGCTGCCTCGGAAGATTTGCTGCAGCAGCTCTTTCTCCCCATCAGCCTTCTCCTCCACTTCCTGGGAACCTTCACGCCAAAAGGCGGAAAGAAGAAAGAAGGAGAGTGTGGGGTGGGGGGAGAGCAGTCTTTTCTGAGGAGAGGAGAAGCCAGGACGGAGCTGGAGGGGGGGCAGAGCCAGTGCAAGTCTCACCTTAGGCTCCACTCTTTAATCAAGCCCCCTGTTCTGTGCGTATGCTCGCACATTATGCGGCTCCCAGTTTTTTCTTTTGTGAGGAAAACGGGCCCAAGTGGCTCTTTCAGTGTTTTAGCTTGCCGAAGATTTCCTGCTTGAGCAGGGGGTTGGACTAGATGACCTCCAAGGTCCCCTCCAACTTTATTATTATTTTACTACTACTACTACTACTACTACTACTACTACTACTACTACTACTACTACTATGGATCATCGCACAGTCAGCCAGATGTTCAGACTGGATTTGGCATTTTGTGTACCTACCTTACCCAGGACCTGGGATAGGCAGATATGGATGTTTGATGGTATTACAGATATCGTCGCAGGATGGAAGCAGTTCCTAGTAAGGCTGCCTTTTGCAATTGACTAATAGCGAATTTGTCAATGCCAATGGTGTTCAAGTGGTGCTCCAGTTGTTTTGGGATTGCACCCAAGGAGCCTATTACTATTGGTACTACCCTTGCTTGCTTTTGCCACAGTCTTTCTATTTCTATTTGTAGGTCTTTTTATTTTGTTATCTTCTCCAGTTCTTTCTCGTCTATTCTGCTGTCTCCAGGCACTGCCACGTCCACTATCCAGACTTTTTTGTCTTTCTTATCGACAATTGTTACTACTATTACTACTACTACTACTACTACTACTACTACTACTACTACTACTACTATTATTATTATTATTATTATTATTATTATTTTTCAACAGAAAAATATGTATATTTTTCCTATGGTATAAATCCAGAGTTCTATTTTAGAGTTATAATAAATATGACATCTATATTCTGTTTTCCACATATTATACATGTATGTCTCTACACCCACGTCTTCTACCATAAACATACACATTTGATTGTTCTTCTATATAATTAATAGGATCAGAATAGCTCTACAAACTACAGCCAAGCCAATTTTTTTTATCAGTAGCTAACTTTGCTGGTCAACATGACTCATGGCAGACTCTTGCCTTCTTTAATGCCATAATTTACTTACATCTATTTCAATATCCTTAAAATCAACAATAGTTCACATAATTATGGTACTATTTTTATACAGAAACTAATCATTCTTTTCCTTAATGCTTTTTTATATGTTGCCTGTACATCTTAAACCTGATAGTGTTTCACCTCATAGGCCATAACAGGGGTATTCCAATGCAGCTAAGAAAAACAAAAAATAAAACCAGAGCTAAGACTGTTTTACTATTAAAGAATTCAGTCCATTTGGACAAAAAACATTGATATGGCTTAGATTTTCCAAATACCAGTGGAAAGTGTGTGTGTGTGTGTGTGTGGGAGGAGGGGGAACAGATAATATTTGGTATTCTTTTATATCTGGTCATTGTTCCAATAAATAAACTTTAGGTCAGAGCAAGTTTGAGACAGTAAACCTATTAAACTTTTATGTGGTACCAAGCTAAAATGAGAGCTATCGGTGATCACTATGCATGTCATGACCAAATATTTTTAGCAATAATTAACCAAAACATACAAAAGTTATTAAATGCTACTTTTTACTATTATTTCACAATTTAAAGGGAAAAAGGTACCAAAGAATTAGGTACAATGTAGGAAATAGGATAATCATTTGTGCTTTCAATTACTGTTTTTTTCAGCTATTTCTGGAGAGCTGATAGAATTCGACGATCTGTTACATGTGAAACATGTGATTTAGCCCTAAGCTTTAGTTCTTTCCAATACAAAATGGGAAGTCAGCAGTTGTGGTGCTTCACTATGTTACTGTTTCTATAGAAACAGTATTCTAAAGGCTACCCACCTGATTTATTTATTTCTTTGAAATTATATTTATAGGCTTTCCTAGCTCATAAAAACTTAGAGTGACGTACAAGTTAAACACAAATCCTATATAATAAAATTTTAAAAAGGCTATTGTCGGGAAGTAATACATTCAACATTAAAAAAAAAAAATC